ACTTATGTTCTTTGCCTGTTGAAACTCATCAGTGAGACGTATCTGCAACCATATGGCAACTGTTGTCCTTTCTTTGATTCAGGTTCAAATGACTCAACGTTTCAGCCAGCATCTTTTATACTGAGATAATCAGCTTGTGGTTAACTTGCTGTAGGATCGAATAAAACACTTTCATTGGTTACAACAAGGTAACGAATACTACTAAGCGCAAATCCTAGTTTCAGAGCATCCTGTTAAGTATGTTCAACCGCCAAACAGATAATGAAAGAGTATTGTAATGCTAAGTTTCCTAGGTTGGTTACGACATCACAAAAATGGTTAGTAGAATTCATACTGATTGATGATTGACGGTGAAATAAAACTTCGGACCTCAGCCGGATTAGAACAAGTGACAAAGGGTTTTTCCGGCCCGATGCTCTAGCAATATAAATACAAATCCACCAAACTACGTGAATCTCAGATGGTCAAAATGACAGTAAAGTTCAGTCACTACTGAGGGTTATACAGCAGAAAATTAATCACTCTCCAGTAATCATTGAGTGTTAAACAGTCCCATCTAACATCATAAAAAGCCTAAATCTGTTGTGCTAAATGTTTATTCTCAGAACCTTTGGCTATCCGTGCACGCAGAAGAAATTTCAGGAATCCATACAGATTAGCAGTATGTGAGCACTCTACTTTATTCATGTATTCTATCCACTAGGTGCGGCATAATGGATATCCGAAAATGAGTCTCCATCTTCAGTGAATGTCATGATACATTTCCATATATCTTCGTTGTGTCAACGCTGTACACGAACTAGTCAACTGATCTGTGCTACCAGATTCTATAAAGAAATGTTTCATCTTGAAATCAAATTCTTGGAAATGAGATAAAAGGCAAACGAACAATTCAAAGCAGAAGTCATTTGATAAAAGGACTCCACTGAAAAGTTTCAAACTTGAACCATAATCATATTTAAGATGACCATTCAAGTGACACCAGGTTTTCTGAAGATTTGGTCTTCCCATGATTGCTTAACTTGATATTAACGAATGTATGTTAATTTAGGTGAGCTCACTTAATTGATCGTTTAGCCTGTTTTGTTCGTCTTATAAATATGTCTCCTGATTCTGTACAAATAGATTGTAGATATTTTTTTCAGAAAACGGTGCGTAACAAGACGTAGTTGGATAAGGATGCAGCTACAGCTTCCTTGTTTGCAAAATAATAGTTGGAACTGAATATACTTGTATGTACCACGAAAGTCAACCTTCTGGAAATGTTCTTTCACTTTACTAATTTGCGAACAAACAAGGTATACAAATCATACGTATATATACCATGACTCTTAAAGATAATTTCTGAAACATTTGTGTATATTTCAGAGGAGCAGTGCAAAAAACTTGTATTTGTCCTCATTGAACCGTAAGAACTCTATACGCTACATTCACAAGTCAATGTTTTTATTCTCGCTCCAACAAATTTCAGACGGTTATGCGTACTATAAGTATACTTTATGAATGTATTATACATAACAGTCGTTCTTGAAAAAGCTTGTAACCGCTCAAGAAGCTGTCTCCGCAATTTACTTATGAGAAGGGCACTGTTAGCTTAACTGTCATGTTTACAGTCTTTAAGTAGTAAATGATAGTAATATATTCTGCTAAACTATAGTTAGAGTGAAGCAAGTCATGTGTAAAAGAAAACTATTTAATAGAGAAAAATAACCATTCAGGTGGAATTATAATATACTTCTTATCACTAATTCCGAAAAAAATGAATGATATGTACTTATCTCATATTGCACGATAAAAATTCTAATGTCAGTATGTCTAAATGTATCATGTCTAGTATACTAACCATGATCAACAGAATACTTTAGATAACCATAGAAAGAATTATTTATCAACCTTAAAACTTCCAGGTCTTATGGGTAACACCATTTTATTTAACTGCTGGCTAAATGTGCAGTGGTTTTTATTTTCCTAATTCTATCGTTTCATGATATAGTGCGATCATTATCCATTGCCATCACCACAAGACAAGGTTTTCAAGTAAAACTTCAGAGAATCCAGTGGTTGAGTCGTAACGTGCTCATCGTGAAGCCTAAACGTCTTTCGTCTGATCTCTGAAGGGTTCGTGGATGCACACAGTTGAGGAATCCAACACCAAGTCAAAACCGATGTTCAATGCTTCCAGGTTTATGATGTTTGTCCAAGTAACTTCATCCTATAATGATTACTACCTTGGAACTAGTCCACCCCTATGAACCTCGAAAGTAAATATCTATTTATCACGTCAACACACTACATATCGTTTTCTTGACAATTTTTTTTACTGCATTTTTAGGATGAACTTTTCTTGGTCACGGATAATTCGTCTCAGCGTGTGAGTCTATGATCTATTCATTGTCTCTTTCCATATGTATTGGCGTGTCTTCAATGAGCATTTGTTTTACCAAAACTCCTAACAGTGTTTTGTAAAAGCCACTCGACAAATACACCTATAACACTATGAAGCTTGGAATCAATGCATGAAGTGTAGGTATTCTTTCGAATACCAACTCATACTGTTCGAATTTTAAAAGACTGACTAACGTCCTTGTAACAGCGATTAAAATTACTACAGCATTTATCCATATTATTGAACATACAATGTGTACTTAATATGAATGACCTGAAAAGTCCTAGATATCGTTTTCGAAGTGCAGGAGGCTACAAATATGTATTCAATTGCTTTGTGATAACATTTCATTACTTCATACTCATCTCATTTTCATTTGATCTTTGATATCCACTGATGACCTATGGCTCACGTCTGAAACGAAATATACTGAATCCGAATTTGTGCTACACGATCAGATGTTGACCATATGCAACAGTCAGATTCATACGTTCTATTTTGTTTTTTTTTTGGATGCATAATCTCTAAGCATTTTGTTATTGTACTGTGCGTAGATAAGCACATTTCTTCGTGTTACATCTAACTTGTAAATTGTATTTCATCTGATAGTCATATAATTGGTTCATAGTTATCACAAGCGGGCGGAAGAATATTTCACATTCAATGCTGTGTAAACACTGGAGATATGTAACTGAAATCCCCATATGTATCGTAAAATATACGATTGCTGCGATCAGACTTCATAATGGTTTGCCGTGTCATCCCTAACATTCACTCATCATTTCTGTCTACTTTGATGAGTTTGTCTCCTTTTATATCTACCACTACCAGCTGCTGAGTGTTTAGATATCCCAAAAAGTATTTCATGTCTTCATGATTCCTACCAATTCGCTTTCTGTTTAGTTATGACCGATTTTTTATATTACTTAGCATATACACTTATAAACATCCACTAGGACCTAATATCAGGGGCAATATTTAAATGTTAACCGCTGCCTAATGCGAATGTACGTCGAAGGTAATTTCATCATTGATAATCCTGTAAGTCAACCACATGTTTTAAAAAAATTCCTCACTCTTGTTTTGTAGGCAGGTATCCCTTAGGGCCAACCAAAACATTCCTACATATTGGTAGATTCTACTGGCTTACGAAATAATGGATGATATTTTTTCCAGCAAAAGTTTATTTTATGCATTCGCAGATTATATAAAAAGCTTCCGACTAGGTCTACGAAATAAGTGAAGATTCCCTGCAACTTATCTTGATATGTTCCTATTTACAAATTCGTAAGGAACATAAATTTGCTTAGTATAAGCAATTATATAATCATGAAAAGGCTTATAATTGCTTTACACTTTGAGTCATACACGATAAAAATACGACTTATTATTTTCGCTTTAGCACCAATGTACTCATTAGGAAGGCATTACTTAAAAGTTTGCACTTTCCATCTTAATGTCGCTTGGTGCTATTCAAATAGTCACTGAATAAATACCACTTTTAGCTTACAGTAGTTTATGTAATGGTTAATAAATGGAATGATAACTTCATTTTAGGAGAAATTCAGAGCGGGGCTATGTAATATGAACAGTATGCCAGTAGTAATCTCTGACTAAAAGTGAATATATATAACTTGTTACTTTTCTGTGGATATTTGGCCTCAAGTATACGACGCGATTTAAGAAGTAAGACAACGTGTTGAAAAAACCAGAAAAGATTGAACTGCTGTTTTGCCCTGTTCTGTCACTTCTCGGCTTTTCTCATTCCTTACCTTTCGATTAAGCTTTCATAGAACTGCAAGCTCACTTGGTCAATGCCTTTCTACTTAGCCGTGGTGTCATGGGTAGGCTTTACTGAAAACTACTTAAATTGACCTTAAATCCTAGTGAGAAACATCTGGAAGTCAATAATTCCTCAGAAATCACTATTTAAATTGCAGCTTTTGAAATGGTGGAGAATATTGGTAAGTAAGAAGGATGATCAGGGTTATGTTGTGTTCTCTGAGTAGGGTTGTTTGATCATTAAACCTCATTGTCTTTCTAGACAGAATCAATAGACGTTATTGTTGATTAAACCACCTAGCTTAGAGAACCACTTTGTTGTACGTTATGCTTTATAGTGGAAAGAAATGAGTTGATTTCGTGTTAATTAGTCTTTCTAATGATGTATTGCCATGTAAATGTGCCCATAGGCTTGAGAATAATGACTTTTTCTCACCAAGAGGTAATTTCCCCCAACCCTCTTCTTAATGAGTGTGAAACTACAAAGCAGTTTTTGAACTGATTTTTCTTGAAGGCAAGAAAATGGATATTCATTAGATAACATATATGATAACATATAAACCTCTAGGTTCCCAGTTCTGGGTATTCAGTGGTAAATCTCGTACTGTATCATGAAATGAGAAATATGCATTTCTGAATAAATTTAAAAACTGATCATCTGACTCTTTGAACTCCTATAATAGCGATGTCTCAAAGATTTAGTAAAAATTGTACTAAACATTAAAATTTCCGCTAAAAGCCTCGTATACTATATCAATCATTCTATATTCAGTGATTAAAGCATTTTTCAAAAAGGAACAAACAAAGAAGTATACCCAAAAATTTAACTCACTTAAACATTCATGATAATTAACTTCGTCAGTTGCAGGAAAATCTTGAAAACTAACAGTTTCATTTTTCATGCAGATATCATAGCGTATTATATAAAAGTATCTTATTGTCATCCACTTCAGAAGATAAAGTTTATTCCTTTAATACATTCAGAGAATGGATTTTAATACATAAGAAAGTTATAAAGCATAATTTTGCATAGTATCCACTTATGGATGTTAATGATGAGAGGGTGTTTTCCTACATTCACAGACAGTTTATATAGATATGTATATATATTCACTCACATGACTGGAAATGAGGAAAGTAGTGACAAAAAAATTCTCACTTGTGATTGGTCAAAATTATATTTCTGTTAACTAATGAAAAATTGTTTCCTTTCGACTATTATGTTGATGATTCCCTTTATATTAAAAAAAAGATCTATCTGTGAATTCATTGAATACTGGTGAGTGTATGAGTGTCCATGAGCATGCAGATAAACAGATAGAAGTAAACTGATTGTTTTCAATATTCAATATAAGTTGAAAAGCTACGAGTTTTCGATTGCTACATACAAAGTGTACTTATAAAGAATGTTTTCCTCATTGATATTCTTATATATTCTGTTTTAGTATAACTGTGTAGTAGGCGCTTCAGCAACTAGTGGCAAGGGATGTCTATCAAAGCAGTCCTCATGGTCTAAGACTCACACTGTTGACAGTTCAAAACTATCATCAATCAGTTGGGTAGTTTTTTTAAAGAAGAATAGCTTCACACTTTAAAATGACCTTGAAAGGACATTCAGTGATGTTCTTGTCCATCACCTTAGTTTTGAATTAGTATGATCTATGATTGTGAATCCTTCGTTTACAATTTCTTAGAAAAGTCTGTGGACGTGAGGAATAGAAAAATTTAGTATCTTCGTGACTATGAACGTTAAACAGACGTACATTTAAACGTAAAATTCATAAAAGACTGAGACCAATCGGACAATAATTGAATGACAGAACAAAATACCTTTTCAGTTCCTACAGATTTTTAATAGTTCTCCAAATGATTTCATTCCAAAATGAAGACCACCTTGAAATCAATCGATTCCTGAAAAGCTTCATTCTGGAGGACCTACAATAAGTCACAATAGTTACCATGATAGCAGCTGAAAACACTGCTGCTATGTCAAAGCAATCGACTTTTTCTAATACCTTACGATGCTCTCAGGACGTATACAGGAACAGTATCCATCAAAAGCTGTGGAGCTGTAGCTCATTGGTTAGGGAGATGACCTTCAACCGATGGGTCACGAATGTGAGTCCAGCCCCACCTCACCAAGTTTAGGCAGTCACTAGACCTCACACAATAAATGTAGTCTACAGCGCTAATGCTCATAAGACTGCTGAGTGCATTTTAAACCATCGAGAGTAGTTATCTTAAATCATACTTACGAGGCATTTATTACCGATTTTTTTCTGGACTGGTTATCGTAGCGTTTTCCCTCCATATGATAGAAATTTGGAAATAAATCAGATTTCTGTAAAAATGGTCTGATTTTCCTTTTATTTTAGTAATTTTATCGTTAATCAGAACAAACATTTTGCATCCCACATAATTTTTTAAAAAACTCATAGCACTGTAATGGCTTAAAACTTAAAACTATGCATATATTTGTAGTCACCTCACTAAAAACACGATGTAAATATTGAAAAACTTGAAAAGTCACACAAAGAAAGTGAATTTTGCAAATTTTCTAAATATGTGCTATTGTGCCTGAAAAGTTGTCCTCCCTGATTGATGATATCCGTTTATGAAAATGTTGCTTTCGAAATATAGTACGTAGCCTGAAACCATATTTCAATGCTAAATAGTTAGATTATTCAGCATTACAAGTACTCTTCATTCAAATTACAGTTCAATGTGTACTCTTGTTCAATATAATATATTTATAAAAGGTGAAGAACATTGCCTATTATGGTGTGTTAAGTGCTTCACAGGTCAATGGCTATATGATCAACTCAACAAAAATCTATTATGTACGGGAGCGTAATAACGAAAAGCATGTCCGAAGGAATCTGATGTATTTAAAGTCTCATAGATACATGAATAGGCAAATACTCAAGTAAGTCAGCAAAAGTTATACATTATTTTTAAAAATTCTAAATCAAATGTTTGCTCAAGGATACTGAATTAATGACAAGATGGTAAAAATTTGCACTATTTAGCTTAAGAAACGACGTTTCAGTGTTTCGGTCGTGATTACCTATTCATTTTGAAATTCCTAATGCAAATTTGCACGGTTAGTCTAATGGTTACCACTGCCATTTCACATTACTGAAAATTGGAATTTCGAAATGTATAACCTTGGATCTTGTCATATCATTATTGAATTGTAAAAAAAATAGCGTCAACCACCTGTAGTCGGATCGTGAGGGTTTCATTTCAAAAACCAGAATATAGTTTATATACTCCATAACTTTACTATAGACTTTTATTCAAAGACATGGCACGTCACGAAAGGCATTTCTAACAAACTACACACATTCACCAACCTACACCACCTACGCTAGCTCACGCGATACTGAATATCAGATCAGAATAGATTAGACCAAGTGGCCAGAATAATAAGAATAAGCACCAAGGAACTCTGGCTGACTGGCTGGTTGTCAATAAACCAAACCCAACCCCTCATCCAACAAACATGCAGATGTAAGTGGAAATGGATTGTGTTGGACATACACTGAGAAGACGGATTGGGGTGAGAGCATCACGCAGCATTGCAGGTCATCGAGTTGCAGCCAAATGGGAAATGATGATTTTTTCGTGTGGGCTGAGGGTGACATGTAGCAGATGGTGTGTGAGCCAGAAATGGGAGATTTTGGGCATTGATGGAGCCAGTTTGAGGAGACTTGAGAGAAGCGGGTGAAATGGTGACATGCTGCTTAACCCCTCTGTTCCACCAGAAACCCAGAGAATAAATCATAATAACAATAATCCGAAACGAATTAAATTCACTTGGTAAAAAAGAGAAACGGCTTGATTCAAACATCACTTTAAGACTACACTTATAACATAGTCTAGAAAAAGTTGATAACAGCATGTTTTCACTTCTAGAATCGTGTGAAAAGATTTCACTAAGACGTTTTACAAATATTGAAGACCAGTTGAGAAGTTGATGTCAAATATAAAAAAAACGTTTGCTAATCTATATGTGTTCTAGATGAAATCCTTCAAACTTTCACTTAGAAGTCTCTCCAGAGTTTCTTTAGCCCTGCAGATCATGATATATATAAACATGCAAAGTTAAAACGGAAAGAGAAATCTAACAGCGTGTAAGAGTGTGATGATTAGGAAAATGGACAAAATCTGAGCAGAATTCCACATGCCATTGAATGGATTCATGCATTAAAAAACAGATTTATAAGCACACTGATTTTTGTCAAAATATGATACTCTTACTCAAACGATTACCTTTCAGACGATTGAACTACTCTTCTGGATATTTTGAAGTGATTTCAGATACTTTGATTTTCATACAAATGGCTATTACTACTATTCACTTTTCTTGACGGTCACCGATGGTGTTAGTCACATCTCCTTTGTTCATAATGAGAACAAACATTTTCATTTGGACTCGTCTATTTCACAGTTTAAGTTATTACGTTGGTTCTCAGAGTTATGATTTTTAAACCTAGGATATTATCGGATCGAAAAATCTAAGCTATATCACTAGGAATAACAAATATGAATATGAAATGGTGGAGTCATCTGCTGTCAGTCGTTGCAGCGCAAACAATAAAATAAAATTCTTCATTGTTGCTTAGTAATTTTCACTCGTTGATAGAACTGAACTGGTACATGGACTACACGTACATCTACATGCAGCTAAAGAGTTTCAAACATGATGAAACGTATGTCCTTGATTTTACTGTTATCCACAATCAGTCACAGATCATGAAATTCCTTTAATCAATATTTCTTTCTACATTCAGTTTCATTCAAATAATATTAGCTGAATGAAAAGTATATTTGACTTTCTATTACGTGTAAAACATTCAAGTCTACTATAGTTCTAAAGAGTTTTTCATTCTCTTGATAATTCCTGTGAGTGATTCACTGCATGCAAACGATAAACTTTCATCTTATTTGCGTGATATGTCTACCGAATTAATAATATATTATTTGAGTAGTATAAATATATATGATCAGGTATTACATTTAGTTTATTTGCATTATGCTCTAATTACTTATTGAAAACTCTGTCTATTGTTCGCTCCTTGGCAATAAATCGATGCATGAGAATTACTTTAATACAAGTTTGAATAGCTATAAATATGAATGGCATCGGCTCATATTGGTAATGCTACTAGTTTTAGATATTTACTACTATTATTCTAAAGATTAGTCAATTTAGACAACCTCATATTATTTTTCAGTAACCCTTTCGTATGTTTACGATAACCTAAGGAAATTTCACGTCATTCTACACCAAATCATTAGCAGAAGGATTAAAAATCAACAAGTAGTCGAAAACTGTCTCATCTTTGCTTGGAAATCCTCAGAAGTATAAATAATAGATTGAGCCTAGCAGATTTAGTTCCTTTGGCTGCTATACTATCATTCACCAACTCTGCTGTAATCGGATGGTTTGTATCTCAGTACTACTACTGCTTCCAAGCTCGCCGTCGATAACCATTCGTTTCTTCACCCAAATCGGCCGAAGAGTCCTATGTTGGAATGGAGCAACCATCCTTAAAATCCAAGTTTATAACAGGTTACCGGTAGATTTAAACCCGCAAAGAAATTTCAAAACTTTTCACATGAGTCCCCAGTGGAACAGAGGGCTTAAGCATCACGTTGCAAATTCACTCTCTTCTCTCTAGTCTCATAAAACTGGCTCCACCATTGCACACAAGCTCTCAATTATTACTTAAACACCCCCTTCTATATATCGCCCTCAGCACATACGACCAACTCATCGTTTCCCATTTGGCTTGAACTCGATGACCTGCAATGCTGCGTGGTGCTCTCACCCCGATCCGTCTTCTCAGTGTATGTCCAATACAGTCCATTTCCACTT